GGTTCAGGAGATGGAGCCCCTATGCTCTAGGCATGCTAGGGACTTTTGGTGGCATGATGGCAGTAGATTTTACTAAAATATTGGTTGGATGACCATCAAGTTTTTTGTAAGTTGGCGCATTGGTCCAAAGGCTTTCAAAGATGGCAGACACTTTTCAGCATTTTCTGTTCTTTTTTTAATGCATTTTTGTTCTGAATTCTATTTTCCTGCCCTCCTCTCCCCTGCTATTAGGACTATCAAATCAGGCATGTTGATGGAAATGGTATGCAGATTTCCACAACAGTTCATTTGCACAATGAACAATGCTCAGAATCATTGAAATCAGTGGATTTCCTGCTGAAAAACGTCAATATTGTTTCAAAATTGTCATCCATATTAACCCAATTTTAGATTCTCAGTTGTACAGTAAGGAGTTTTGGGGGCAGCAGCCATCCATGGGAAGTTGCATTTGGCTCTATATTGATCTTTTTTTTTTTTATATTATCCATATTTTTGTATAATTTTACTTCCCCTCAATCATGTAGTACAAGGTAATAGACAAAATTACTTTTCATCTGTAATATTACCTTGGAAAGTTGTGCAACACCTAATACTTTGGTAGACAGGAAAATGTAATAGCACAATACTAATCAAAGAGAAAGACTACACTTATATGTGAAATAGTCTGAACAGGCAAAATATAATGTCAGAAATTCAGAAAATAGGTCTTGACAAATGCTGTGAGACCAAGTAGTACATGGCAATTGGGCTGGCATTCAAGGGCAGAGCCCCAGATAGGGAAATATGGTGATCAGATGGAAGTCTGGGGTGAAGCCCCTGGGTTAGGAAGGTTTTGGTTCATATGATGATGTAGATTTCCCATTAATTGCTGGAGTAATAGGGACTTAATTTCAGAGGTAAGGTTACTGTAAATATTACCATTTTTTTTTATTTGGTTTATGAACCAAAAACCTACCCAACCAGGGGTTTTTCCCAAACCACCTCCAGATTACCATATTCCACTGGGCGATCAAAGATCACGACAGCCATAATAGAAAGTGAGCTGAGAATCATATCTTAGATGATAAAGCTTTAACCCCTTGGTGCCGGGTATGACGTGTACATACGTGCTATGCCCACAGTGAGTACTTCTTTGATTGTTTTTACGCATAGATGGCAACACTTGTACTAACTCCCCAATGAGCCAGTTACGAGCACCGCCCGTCTCGCCCATTTACCCGTTTCTTTGATTTACGAAATATTTTACGTAATCTTATTTTGCTGTTACTAATGTTAAAAAAATATATAAAAATTATAATGTTTATGATAAAAATAACACCATCGATTTTCATAGCTCTAGTGATAAATACGTTTTTCCCGCCATTTAAATCAGGCGCTAGCAGAGCCATCTATCGGCAGACATTTCACGAAAAACATAGAAAGTGGGCATAATATTTTCCCCATTTTTTGTTCATTTTCCCCGGCACCATTGGGTTAAATAGGAAAGCTTTGATCCAAGGTTTGTACTTGGAATATTCTACCTGGCATTGTGCAGACAAAGGAACCCTATCTTAAATACACAAAATATCACCATATGAAGAAAAAATCTACTAGTAAAGGGCCTTACCCCTGGACCCCCTTCAGATTGTCATATTCCCCCCCGAATGCTGTCATTTTCTAATATGCCTTCCCTCTCCTTCCTATAACTCATAATATATATTTTTTCTCTATCCCTTTCTTTCACCTATAGACAAGTGTAGGTTAAAGAAAGGATTTTATAATTTTTCCCTGTTTTTAAGTAATAATTTTCTCTCTTCCAGCTTGGAGAAGGAGCAGACTGACGTTGCTCGGGTGTCTCAGGAGTCAAGCCAGAAGGTCCTTGAACTGCAGCGTAAGATCCAGACAGCTCGTGAGCAGGTGAGACAGACAGGCAGGCAGGCTTATATTAGATGGCAAAAAAAGGAGAGACTGTAGAATGTTTATTTTTGTCTCCTTATTACTTCTCCTTTCTTGACTCTTATTCCTTTTCTTAATTCTCTTTATTGGCCTGAACGGAAATGGTGAGACTGATCATACATTAATTATAGCATGCATCTAATGCCTTGTATTCAGGAGGATTTTCATGTAAATAGGGTCAAAGTAAAGCCAATATTCTTATATTTGTATTCACATTTATCTGTCCCAACTCATCAGGTGAGAAAGCTGCCAGGTGTGGAATACAGTGGAGAGGAACAGCTCCGCCGCCTTGAGGCTCTCAGGAAGCAGCTAGCACTGAAGAAGCGACTCCTTTTGAAGTACAAAACCAAGAGTGAAGCCCCCCACTAGAAACTGAATTGTTAGTGTTCTCTGATGAGCAAGGGTCAGCCTTGTTTTTGAAATGGTGATTCTGGATATACAAACTTGGAATTTAATGGTGACAGTGAAGATATAGCATGAAAATATCTTGTCTGGTAGGGTGATGGGTTAATTGCTGTAAGTCTTTATGGGAATTATCCAAGTGAGGATACCCTATCTAAATCTTTCTATCTCCCTCCTTCCATTCTCATCAACTTCCCTTTGCATCTCTACAGTGATTAATGCTATCTACCCCTTTTACAGAAGCTGAACTTGCTATGGTCTTACGGTATCTCCTAAGCCGGATCCTCAACAACCCCCAAGTTATTGAGAAACTTTCCGAGTCCTATCCCATCCGCCGTGCAGCCCAAATCACTGCTTATGCCCTACAACGTGGAAAGGTTGCAGCGTCAGAAGCACTTGACTCGGAAGCAAGCAAGCGTCTGCAGCAGTTTCGTCAGGATTTCACACAGGAGGTAAAAGAAGGCTTCAAGAAAATTGAGGAGGAGAACAAAACGAAGAAGTAAAGGAGTCTTGTGAAAGGTACCTTCTCCTCCTTAAGGATTTCCTTTGCAAGCATAAGTATCAAACCCTAAACTGTCCTATAACATCAGCATGCCTGAGGGAGCTGCAAACACTGTACAGACCGATGCTGAAAAGTCGACTGAGGAGAAGAAGCCCAAGTGCAAGGCTTGCTGTGCATGTCCAGAAACCAAGAGGGCACGGGACGCCTGCATCATAGAGAATGGCGAGGAGAATTGCACAGAACTCATAGAGGCTCATAAAAAGTGCATGAGAGAGATGGGATTCAACATTTAAGAGTGAGCTTATGATGTGTATTGTTAGTGGATTCAGGTATCCTTTGTGCAAGACGTGAAGATAGGTATTGTTTTTGAAATTTTGCAAGTCTGAAACAAACATCCTTAGAAATCAACGTTAGTCTTGGGTATGATTGGTAACAATGACAACAACATCGCAGAAGCACACACTCTTTGTGGCAGAGCCGATGGGGGACAAACCTGTGACTGAACTGGCAGGCATCGGTGAAGTCTTAGGCAAACGGCTGGAGAACAGGGGATTTGACAAGGCATACGTTGTCCTTGGGCAGTTCCTTGTTCTGAAGAAGAACCGGGAATTATTCTTAGAGTGGCTGCAGGATTTGGTGGCTGCCAATTCCAACCAAGCATCTGAATGTTATCAGTGCTTGGCTGACTGGTGCAGCGAGTTCTTGTGACGAGTCCAAGGTTGTAGTGAGTTCTTCAGGATATCCCACTTCCTGTTACCATTGTTTTTTGACTTGGTGGACAGCAGTGATTTGTCTTCAAAGATTACTGTTGCTGATAACTAGGGCAACATTTGAATCACAAGGTAGTTCAGCCACTGTACTTAACTTTCTCACGCAACAGGGACAGGTAGAGTCAGCCATGTCGCACAAAGGCCACTCAATTGTCACAATAGAATCCCTGGACTCAGGCTATGAGCCACGCACATATAGGCAGACATCCCCATTAGATTATTTCACTGACACACTGTTGCTTGTGAGACCATACTTCAGGGTGGCCAATCGTAGATTGCCGCATAGAGTCCTGTCATCCATGGCACCCCCTTTGTTTTTCCCAGAGTTCAGACGCGTCTACTCTGACCTGAAAGGCCCACTGTTGATCATGGTGTCCTTGGCCTCCATCCTTCTTTATGGCCTCTACAGCCCTGAGCGGACACTAATGTGGGACATAGCAGCAACAGCAAAGCTAACTGTGGGATACTGGCTGGGTTTGTCTGTATTAGCCTTCCTCCTGGGATACTTTTGCCAGACAAACCTCACGTTGCCACAGTTCCTCTCCATCACGGGTTACAGCCTCACTGGCCACTGCCTTGTGCTGCTCATTGCTGAGGTGCTGCACCAGGAGGAGAACCATGGAGTTTTCTTCTTTCTTACAACAGTTTTTGGGGGGCTTGCCACAGGGAGGCTCGTCATTATCATCCTGGCTAGAACGCCTGGGCCTGCACAGCGTCTTGTGATGTGCTCTGTTCTGGCCTGTGTCAATCTCATGCATCTTATCTACATCCACTTTGCTTGCATGAGGAACAAGTTTCAAATTTAAACATACATACAATTTGATTTGATTTTTTTTTTCCCCCCACACAAATGGTTATGAGCATTCTGATTTATCACGAGAGGAATCCGGTGTTACATAGCTTTTCATGAGGCAGACTTTTTGACAGATTTTAAATGAACTCAGTTTCTTGATTTTAATTAATGCAAGAGAAACCTGTGTTGATCTTGTTATTTGTATAAAGGACGACTGAACATTAAACAAACACTTTGATGTAGTTCTGTCAGGAAAGGACTTTGTAAATATATGGAAAGTAATAAAAAGAAACAATTCTTTGTCTGGAATTTACTTGTACACAAACCTTCTAGTTCACTTAGGTGAAGCATGTTATCATGCACCCACAACATAAGAACAGAGTATGGAATCAAATGTAAGACTGATGGGGGCATTTTGAATTTTGGCCTCTGGTTATTTCTGGGTTAATTGAAAGATGATTTATCCTGACAAACAGGCTACTGTGCACTATAAGAGGATTCCAGTGGCTTTTAAGCAAGAGAAACTTAATTTTCTGAAAAAAGTACTACTTGTTTTTAATATTGCAAAGTAAAAAGTTTAAAAACCTCCCCAAAGTATATTCAGTAATGAACCATGCAAATGAAGATCATCAGATGAAAATAAGAATTTTTTTTTATAGCAAAGATTAGAAAGCCATGAGGAAACTTGGGTTCAATTACAAAGTTGGCCCGTTTCCAGAATTTGGAAAACTTCCATTAATAGAGTTGATTTATATGTAGTTCATCCATGTAATCCCTAACTTTGATTCAGATTTTCATTCTTCACTTCTGCTATTAATAAATTCAGATTCATAATTCAATATATGTTTTCTTAACAGTGAAAGCAACAAACAAAATTCACATATCATTAGGGTTAGTAAAGCAAAAAGATAAACATCAGTTCAATTTTTTATTATTTTTGTAAGATTTTTTTGGTAGTGATGATGACAAGGACTGCAGACATGACTAGAAAAAGAAAAGAAAAAAAAATGGAACCACATTAATTAATTCACAATATATACAGTCTGGGAATCTTTACATACAAAAAGACCTCATAAGCTTTCTTTTAAAGCAGATGTCAAAAAGAATTAAGACACTGAAGATTTACACATCGCTCAAAGAGAAAATGTTTAAAATGGAGACAAAAAAGTTTATTAGATCTCTTGTGTAAACATCTGAATGATGGATAATTACGATGATAATATATGGAGCAACCATAGACAGAATAAAATAAATAATACCAGATTCAAGAAAATGTAATAGAGATAATCATATAGACAGAAAGACAGACAGTAGGTAATTAGAAAGTAGACTGACAGGTAGAAGGGAACATGGCTAATGTAATGTAAGACACATTACAGATACAGGATACTGCCATATACAAACTTGAGCTTTGATAATGACTGATGATTCATAGGGTTAAAACAGACCACGCTCCTAATAAAACACTCCTAGTGAGAGACTTGGGGTAAAAATAAAAAGTTAAAACATATGCAAATTCAATAACAATCCTGATTTGTCAATATTGTACAGAGAAAAATAAGTAGGGAGTGAAGACTATGCACAAAATACTGACCGAATTTTATATATAATAAAACATCTCAACAATACATATAACATCGTTGTAACAGATTTTCATCACAGACTTGGAAAGACATAAGACTTTTGTGTTTGTTATTTGCTCTACTTCAGCACTTGGATTCAATTGTCATTACTCTTTTTCTCTCTTCTTGAGTAGCCTCTACACTACTGCCTCAAAAGCCTCATCCATGCTGGAAAAAGGTCACCCTCTTGTACACAATCCCCTTTGGCTTCACTCATCACATATGCCACAGGGAACTTCTCATTTCTTCTACACAACTTCACTTTTCATGGAGGCCTGTTCACAGTTTGTTCTCTTCACATCTCTTCCACACTTCCAGTGAGTGATATGGAAAAAGAATGAATAAGTTTCTTTCTCAGGATGTGATGTTCGTTAGCCTCCATGTTGCTGTAGATGCAGGCAAAGAGACCTACTTTCAGACCAGGTTGACCTTGGATGGGGTCTCAGGTCAGGACAACAGCTTCCCTCATCGCTCATCCACGTAAACAGACAAAAAAGTTTATTAGATCTCTTGTGTAAACATCTGAATGATGGATAATTACGATGATAATATATGGAGCAACCATAGACAGAATAAAATAAATAATACCAGATTCAAGAAAATGTAATAGAGATAATCATATAGACAGAAAGACAGACAGTAGGTAATTAGAAAGTAGACTGACAGGTAGAAGGGAACATGGCTAATGTAATGTAAGACACATTACAGATACAGGATACTGCCATATACAAACTTGAGCTTTGATAATGACTGATGATTCATAGGGTTAAAACAGACCACGCTCCTAATAAAACACTCCTAGTGAGAGACTTGGGGTAAAAATAAAAAGTTAAAACATATGCAAATTCAATAACAATCCTGATTTGTCAATATTGTACAGAGAAAAATAAGTAGGGAGTGAAGACTATGCACAAAATACTGACCGAATTTTATATATAATAAAACATCTCAACAATACATATAACATCGTTGTAACAGATTTTCATCACAGACTTGGAAAGACATAAGACTTTTGTGTTTGTTATTTGCTCTACTTCAGCACTTGGATTCAATTGTCATTACTCTTTTTCTCTCTTCTTGAGTAGCCTCTACACTACTGCCTCAAAAGCCTCATCCATGCTGGAAAAAGGTCACCCTCTTGTACACAATCCCCTTTGGCTTCACTCATCACATATGCCACAGGGAACTTCTCATTTCCTTCTACACAACTTCACTTTTCATGGAGGCCTGTTCACAGTTTGTTCTCTTCACATCTCTTCCACACTTCCAGTGAGTGATATGGAAAAAGAATGAATAAGTTTCTTTCTCAGGATGTGATGTTCGTTAGCCTCCATGTTGCTGTAGATGCAGGCAAAGAGACCTACTTTCAGACCAGGTTGACCTTGGATGGGGTCTCAGGTCAGGACAACAGCTTCCCTCATCGCTCCTATCCACCTGTAAAGAAGTGGGAAACATTCTGTTAATTTCATAATTTCAAATGAATTCAGTTGCAATATAGTTTTAATACAACTGTTTTTAATTAAAAAAAAAAAAATCAAAGTCAAACATTCATAATCTATTTCTAGGGTGAAGGGATGAAATGAATTAAATATTTATAAAATCTTCCTTAGTTGTCAAATGCATTTGCAAGTGAAACTATCCCTCTCTCCCCCATGTTTTTGGTCACAGTTTATAATAGCATAAACTACTGTTCATGCACATTTCTGATGCATACACATTTTGAACAAAATGTGTATGCTATCACCAACTATCACTATCACCAACTATCTATCACAATCATCAATAGATTAATACTAACTTCTCGGCTAAGTGCGGAGTGTCAGCTTGGAAGACGAGGGGAGGCTGGTTGCAGTGTGTCAGCTGGAAGACTAAACAAGCATCGATTCCTTCCGTCATCTCTCGATCCTGAAAGAGAAATGCAAAAGATTATATAATTATGAAGAATTCATAAATGTCAGTTAAAAATATAAGAAAGATTAGAATAAGCCATTTTAAGAACATGATTACAGATCAGCAAACAAGTCATGAATATGATAATGAATAAGTGTTAGAACTTTTTAGGAACTATAGATTCTATGAGTAACAGAGATTTCAAGAATAAAATCAACTAAACTAGCAAGTACTTAAGTGTTCATCATTTATTGAGATACCTGTAACTTCAAGTAGAGTTCCTTAATCCCAGTTAAAAAAAAAGCTCTTCTCTACCTCCTTTACACATAATACCTTTATACAATGTACTCACTTCAGACTTACACCTGAGCAAAGCAATAATTTATAAAATATTATAAAATGTTATACGATATTCTAAATTAATATCTGTCATACCTGTGTCGTTTCCACTGCATACCCTAAGACAGGGAAGCTCTGCAATGCACACACATCTTCTGGTGCTCTATACTCGTACAGAACTCTGTCTTTAAGGACAAACCAGCCTCTTCGCCATGACCTCCTGACCATCATCCTAAGGTAACCGCACATCTGAGAAGCCTCGTCACTTGCACACACCTAGAATATCACGTTCAGATAAAGGACATGATGGGGGAAGTTGAAGAAAAGAGAGAAAAAGATATGTTTGCATATATCAATTAGACTGGTTGCTGACATATTGAAAGAAAGGTAGGGAAGCCAAAGGAATTGGAAGAGAAAGAGGGAGAGAGAGAGGGAGTGAGAAAGGGAGAATGAGAATGAGATAGAAACAGACATAGAGAAGATGGAGTAGGAGAAGGAGGAGGGAGGGGAAGAAACAGGTAGAAAGAATATGTATGTGTGTGTGTGTGTGTGTGTGTGTGTGTGTGTGTGTGTGTGTGTGTGTGTGTGTGTGTGTGTGTGTGTGTGTGTGTGTGAGAGAGAGAGAGAGAGAGAGAGAGAGAGAGAGAGAGAGAGAGAGAGAGAGAGAGAGAGAGAGAGAGAGAGAGAGAGAGAGAGAGAGGGTAAAACAGGAAAATTGTCCTCACCTCCATCAGCCTTTCAGGCACCTTCTTCCTGGTCTTGTTCCGGTTGCTATCTCGAATTCCCCTCTTAAACTGAGCCTTGAGACTCGACACTCTCCTTATCCTTGCCTCCTGTGTGTCTTCAAGACTCATTGAGCCCTCATACTTGCTCTCAAAGTCCTTCTGCAGGACTTCGAAGCAGGTGTCACACACACGAGCCACCTGGTTTCTCTTGTACTGGAGTGGAGCTCGGTTGGAGGAACAGTGATCACACACAACCTAGGTTCATGGAAGATAAAATTAAACAGTTGCTTTGGCACATCCTTCACTAAGATGTCATTCTTATTTGTATACACTGGTAATCAAAAAGTGATATTTAATAGATAATATAACATTTATTATAATATAATAGTACTACAAAATGAAATCCTCCTACCTTCCCACAAGCACGGCAGTGGTGTCTGCGGAAAGTGAGGGTGAACTCAGCTGTGCATTGCTGGCACATTGTCACTCTATAGTCGGGGATCCAGACAGGAGCCTGAATTGGAGAGGAATTGTATAAATTGTAAAAAGTTAATACTGAATAATGAATCATAATATGTTTGTGTTGTAATTTAAAAGATATGTACCAATTACTTAATTCAATGCCACCAGAAAAATGCTCTGCCCATTTTAGATTTTTTTGTGAAATGTCTCTGCACATAGATGGCTCTGCTAGTGCTTAGTCACAAAGGAGTCAATTAGTAGACCTTGTGACCTTACCTGATTTCACCTTTCCTTGAGTTGGCAGGAAAAAAGTATTTTTTACTATGCTATGAATATTGATAGTTTTATTTTTATTATAACCATTATAATTACAATAATGTTACTGACATTATTAACTGCACTATAAGAAAACATGAAATATTTTCAAAAATCAAGGAAAAGGGTAATCAGGTGAGCAAGCAGTACTCATAATTGGCTCAATGGTGACTTAGTACTTATGGATCCATTTATGTGTAAGAACAATTAATAATATAAACTCATAGTGGGCATGGCAAGTATGT